ATCCGCTTATCCAGGATCTCGTGTTCCTTACAAGTTCCAGCCTCTTTCGTTCTCAGAGTCGCAGACGAGGAGGGGACAGGTTGATGGGCATTTCGATCTGCTGTTTACATACAGTCTAGGAAGCGCTGCGTGACCATGAGGGATTTCGACGGCACTCGCGAATCCCATTGTCATTACGGAATCCCGCAGATTTCCAGAGACAGATCAGAAATGTTTTAAAAACTGAAGTCCCAAGTTGAAGCTTTTAAACAGTTGAACCTGAATTGCTTCTACTTTGCTCCAATAACTATGACATGGTCAAGTCTGGGTAAATCTTGGACGCTTTTACTTGGCTGTGTCCTCCAGAGAGAGTGAAAATTTGATAGTGAAGACGCGTTTGTGGCATGACGTGATAGGAGTAGGGTTTTTGGGGCCCTGGCTATTTCATGTCAAATTTTGATCTGATCCTTTTTGGAGATGGAGGGCAAAATCTGGCTAACGTAGGGCTATTTTGAGCCTGTCTATAGGTTTTCACATAAAAACCACCGGAATGATTATGGGAGTGAGATTCCTGGTGAATGACAGACAGAGGTGGTGACCGAGCCACTGGAGCAGGAAGGAAAGCATAGGAATTGATGCTACACTGCGGATGAGCCCCAAAAACGTCGTGGTGGGAAAAAGCCAGCAGACACAGTGCCCCACGTGTCCTGTGAGTCCACTTACGTCACATGAAGAGAAGACACAAATCTCTAGACAGCAGAGCGTGGTGCCTGGGGCTGGACATGTCAAAGGGGTACCGGGCATCTTTTGGGGGTGATGGAAATATTCTAAAGCTGCATCGGGGTGATTCTACAGCATATCTGCAAATGTACGGGAAGTCGTTGACCTGTACACTTAGAATGGGTGAACTTTGTAGTATGTAAATGATGCCTCAGAGAAGCTAGGGGGATGGACCTTGAGGACAGGCTGCTGAGTGACATAAGCCGGTCACAAAAGGACGAATGCTGTGTGATTCTACTTTTAGGAGGGACCGAGAGGAGTCAGGTTCACAGAGACAGAAAGCTGGATGGTGGGGGCCAGGGGCTGGGGGAGGGGACGGGGAGATGTTTAGTGGGGACAGAGATTCAGTTTTACGAGATGAAGCATTCTGGAGATGGCTGGGGGGATGACTGCACAAGACCATGAATGAATTGGATGCCACTGAACTGTGCACTCAAAAATGGTTAAGATGGTAAATTTTATGTTGTGTGTATTTTACCATAATAAAAAAAATTAGAAGAAAAAGAAAGAATAGCTGGGTCGAGAGCATTTGCTTCTTCCCTAGTCAGCCTTTCTGAAAGGAGACAGTGTCCAGCATTCAATGATACAGTTTGCAGAAATCAAATATCTTCATGTGACATTTCCCAGGATACCATGTCTCTTTTAGTATATTTTCAGATATGCTCCATGTAAAGAGAAAGATACAATGTAACCTGTTCCCTTCATCAACTTCAACCATTATTGGGGATCGGCATTCTGCTCTTTTTCTTTCATCCAGTCCTCCCAAATATGCCTGCCCGCACACGTGCATGTGTGCGCACACATGTACAGCTATGCGGATGTGTGTTGTGCATGTGTGTACATGTTTGTGTGCATACGTGTGCTATATGCATGTGTGTATACACGTCTGTGCGTATATATGCATCCATGCACGTGTGCGTGCACATATGCACACATGTATGTGTGCATGTATGCATATATGCGCATGTGTGTATGTGTGCGTGTATGCTTGTATTTGCTCTGCTATTGTAAGGTGAACAGCAAACATCATATCATTCCACACATGACTATTTACATACATACCTTTAACAGATTGGCGTTTCTTTTTAACAAAGCCACAGTCCCGTCTTCCCAACCATCAAATCTTTGATGTCACCCCGCCTCCCGTATCCATGTTCCACCACCTAAACACATGCCGTGTGCTCAGAAGCACCCCAATTCTGCCACCGATTGAGAGTCTTGTCACTGAAGTTCCAGGGTCCTGCGGGAGGATAACATGTCAGTTCCAGCGTGCAATGGGAGGTGTCTTTGGAATGCATCGTCTCAGAAGTCAGAGGGAGAAACACTCGCCCTCCGTCCTGGGGACAATTAGGAATGTCACCGAGGGTCTTGCTTCTCCGAGGGCCCCCTCTCTCCACATCCTGCCAAGAGCTGAAGGACAGTATCTTTTTTTATGTGTCTGTAATACAAATGTATTATACCTTTACTTGATGCTCAACAGGAGGACAGATTAAGTTTCTGGGGAAAACACATGCATACAACCTTACTAAATTGCTGATAGCAGACCGAGGCCAGCCCTGGAGTCTCACGTTATAGGACAGACCCATACAGGAGGGCCGACTGTCGCCTGCAGGAGCAAATTCTGGATTGAAATTCCCGGTGATGCCAAAGACCCTGGTGGGCCCCCCGTAACGTCAGCAGAATCGGGGACCCCTCTACGCAGAGCTCATGGGGGCGCCAGCCACCCTTGATGGACACCCCAATAATAGCAATGCTGGTGACCCACGCCAGCACCTTCTGGAACCCGAGGGCTGTGGGATCTGACCCCCCAGGGAGGAAGATGTTGTGTAGACGGCGGAGTTCCACACACGGAGGTGTGAGGCTTCTTCACAGAGGGGAGGAAGGCATCCTGTGAAGGCGGTTTGAGGTTTTTCACAGCTTTTCTGCATCAGACGCGGGAGGCCCACGCCCAGGACTGGGGGGGCCAGCGTCTCGCGGGCTCAGCGTTTCCCGCTGTGGATGCTGCTGCCTCGACAACGCTTTCTAGGGTTCGGCTTCGGGACAGTTGGGAAGAGCAGAGGATGCGACGGCTTCCGTGCAGAATCCGGTCCCCAACACCGGCCTTTTTTGCATCACCTCCGCCCGCCGGTTGAAGTCCTTTCTCAGGTCGGGCTCAGGGTGTCATTCCGGAAGCCTCCATTTGGTGGCTCTCAGCTCCCTGCAAACACGGGGACGTTCAGTTCGATTCTAGGACCGTGCACAGTGAGGGGACTGGAGACCCCGGAGGAAAGGACGGGGTCCACAGCACGGAATAGGGAGCAAGGCCCTGCGTGCTCCACCATGTCCCTGCTCAGAGCAGCCGTCGGTGGGAGGGGCCCTGCCCGGTCCTCGGCTGCAGAGGGTGCTCAGCTCTGAGGACCCGGGAGCCTGCAACTGGGAGCACCAGGTGGGATTCATGTCCTCTCTGTGCCCTACACCTGGAGGAGCTCCATCTTCGGGGCTCCAAAGATAACTGCATTTGCTCATCCCCTTGCACACCCGTTCCAGAATTAAAATCGGGATGAAGGTGTGAAAGCCATCGATTCTGGAAATCTCTGGTGTCTGTATGTCAGCTGGCGTCACAGCCACGGAATTTTGGCACAGCTTAAATGTGTGTGCAAGTGTCCTGGGGCGGCTGTAACAAATTCCCACAAACTGAGGGGCTTAAAACCACAGAAATTCATCCTCCCCCAGTCCTGGACACCAGACGTCTGAGATGAAGGTGTCACAGGGCCGCGCTCCCTCCACAGGCTCCAGGGGAGGGTCCTTCCTGCCTCTTCCAGCTTCTGGGGCTCCAGGCGTCCCTGGGCTGGTGGCCGCCTCCTTCCATCTCTGCCTCCATCTCCACGTGGCTTCTCCTCTGTGTCTGTGTCTCCTCTTCTGTCTCTGATGAGGACACTGTCACTGGATTTAGGGCCACCCTCATGCAGCAGGTCCCAGCCTGAGGTTCTGGGTGGACATGGATTTTGGGGGACACTCTTCACTCCGGTACCAATGTGTGCTTTTCTTCCCAAGCAATGATGGCGGGAAGCAGGCCCTCCCAGAGGCCCCGAATTACAGCTCACAATCTCCATCTCGGACCCACAGTGGGGAGGCCGCCTGCCCTGCGGCCATCTCACCCTGGAGGTCCCCGAGCCCCCCCACTCTGGGCCCCGCCCAGCTCTTGCCTTGCAGACCGCAGGCCGTCCTCTTCCAAAGGGGCCGTGAACCCAACGCCGTGTGTCCCCTTGTGATGTGCAAAGTGTCAGAAACTTTGCTGTTCCAGGCGAATCCTCGGTTCCCAGGACTCCGCTGTCTTGGCCTCCTGGACGCTCCAGGGATGGGGGCCCCTCATCTTCCCGGAGCAGCAAGGCATTGGGGCTGTGACAGGTGCGTGCCGGGTGTGGGAACAGACAGATATGCCCCCACCCACGTGACGACGGGGGTCTCGGCTGCTGACACTTCTGGGGGGCTTGTGTGTCCAGTGGTCTTGCTGGGTGCCTGGTCCCCACAGGATCCCTTGGGTGAGGCCAGGAGCACGCTCTTGGAGGCCAGACCCCAGATGCTTCTGTGGCCCGGGGCTCTTGGCTGGGGCAGGAGCCAGAGGACCAGCCAGAGGGAACCTCCTGCACCCCAAAGCATCTCGGGGAACCCATCGTGGCTGCTGACACTCATTGTCCTCACACAACTGGGCTTCCACGGGTTCTCGTCCACTGGGGGGGGCCTGACCCACGCCTCCCGGGCATCTGTCTCTTCTGGGGGTCTCCACTTGTGAAATTTAAGTCAAGCATGTGTCCCGAAGGGCCAGAGCGACCGGCCATTCTGGAAGCCCCTGTCGTTTGCTCTTGTGGGGACCTGGTGACATGGGGGGGACCCCTGAGCTCCCGGAGCACGGGGGCCGAAGGGGCCTGTCCACCATCGTCTGGCCACATCCGAGCACTGGGAGTGACCGATGATGAGATGAACACCAGGTCCGGGGGCACCCGGCTGGGCAGCAGAGGGTGTGCGTGCACCTCAGACCCGGGAGGCGCGGAGAAAGAGTCACGTGGGCAGCTCCCGATGGGCTGTCGGGGGCCGTGGGGGACACAGTGGGGCCGCCTGGCCGTCCGCCCTCTGCCACCGTCTGCAGAATCCCACGGGGCCTGCCTGTCCTCCCATCTGCTCTCACCCTCTGTGGGCGGCCGTGTCCGGACGCCAGGACGGAAGGGAGGGGTCTGGCCGCCCCGTCCCGGGGGTCACCCGGCTCAGAGCAGGCTCTCCTGTCTCTTGAGGCAGGGCTGGCCGGCCCCCTCGAGCCCGTCTGCGTGGCCGCTGGCCATGGAGCGGGCCGACAGCGTCCGGGCCGAGAAGAGGCTCTCCCGGCGGGCGTCCAGGCTGTCGGCCGGCAGCCGGCCGTAGCCCAGGTAGTCCCGGAGGCGGAGCTGGAACTCGCGGGATGCGAAGTAGTAGACGAAGGGGTCCAGACAGTTGTTGAGGCAGCTCAGGCACAGTGTGAGCTTGTAGACGTGGTAGTAACTCTGGCCGAAGAAGAGCCTGCTCACCATGTGGACCAGCAGCACGAAGTTGTTGGGCGCAAAGCAGGTGACGAACGCCAGGAGGACCACGGCCGCCAGGCAGACCGCCCGCCGCCGCTGGCCCCGGCCGTGGGGGTCGGGCGTGCGCAGAAGCTTGAGGATGGTGGCCGTGTAGCAGGCCACGGTGACCACGAAGGGGATGAGGAAGAGGACGATGAAGAGCGTGAAGAGGAAGACGGCCCACAGGGCCACGCTGGGCAGCATGGTCGACTTGAGCACGTCAAAGCAGGTGACGATGCCCAGGGCCTCCACCTCGTACGTGAGGTCCGTGCGAGCCAGCGGGGACAGGGCCGCCAGCAGCAGCAGCCACATGGCCACGCAGGCGGCCACGGCGTAGCGTCGCCGCCGCCAGCGCGCGGACGCCAGTGGGTAGACAACGCCCAGGAAGCGGTCCATGCTGATGCAGGTCATGGTGAGGATGGAGGAGTACATGTTGGCGTAGAAGGCCACGGTGACCACATTGCAGAGCAGCTCACCGAACACCCAGTGGTGGCCGTTGCAGTGGTAATAGATCTGGAAGGGCAGCACGCTCGCCAGCATCAGGTCCGTCACGCTCAGGTTGATCATGAAGATGATGGAGGGCGACTGGGGCCCGATGTGTCGGCACAGCACCCAGAGCGAGAACAGGTTCCCCGGGATGCTGACCAGCGCCACGAGCGAGTAGACCACGGGCAGGACCACGGCGATGGTGGGGTCCTGCAGCATCAGCAGCGTGGCGTTGTCCGGCCGCGTCATGTTCATGTCCATCATGGCGGGGAGACCGGGGCCGGGGGGCTCAGGGGCGGATCTGGAAGGCAAGGGGCACAGGGGTGAGAGGGGCAGGGAGGGGTCCTCGTCTGTGGCCGCCGTGGGCTCCCCACTTGGTTCTCCCCCCTCCTCCTCTCGCCCTCTTGTTCTCCCACTGGATTGCAGGCCTCACACACGCTAACTCCTGAAACGCTGCATCGCACGGAAAACAGATAAGGACCATCCATTACTCAACTGCCCAGAGACATAGGTGGGCTCAGAGACAGACTGCCCGGGGCCTCCGGGTCAGTGCGCAGCTGGCCCTTCCTTGGCAACCTCTTTCCTTCCCGTTGTTTGGAAGCACAGGGAGCGTGCCGTCAGCCCCGCCGCGGTGGCTTCAACATTGGGGCCGTGAGGAAGCGGGGAGTGCAACAGAGTGACAAGTTTACAAAGTTACCAAGTGACGAATCCTGCACGCAACAGTGTTTCCAGCAGCAAAATGTTCCCCTGGGACTGCTCTGAGCCCGGTTTCCTCATCTGGGCAAGGTGAAGTTGGCGACCCCCCCCCAGAGACGTCCTGGGTGGCGCTGACTGCCCTCCTCGACCACATGGGGGCACTGCACCGCCAACAATGCAGGCCCGGCAGGTCTGTTACTCATCTGTCACCGTGTGCCTGGCCTCCCTCCCTCTGCTACCATAACAACTCATCACCACGGCCCCCCACCTCCACTCACTTCTACATCTGGGACCCCAACCCCAGAGCACCTATTGGAGGCTGCTCGTTAGGGTTGAGGACGTTGGAGCCCCTGAGACAGCACCCACGTGTCCTCTGTCCCACCTCCCTCCCCTAAAGGCAGGCTTTTCAGTGGTGGATTTGGATCCCCACAAAATTTCCTGTCACCTTGAGCATCACCCCACAGCACAAGCAGGACAGGAAGACAGGAAACAGGAGCTCGGAGGTGGGCGGGCGGCGTGTTTTCAACCTCCGGACAGGGTAGAGCCATTGCCCCGGCCCTGAGGGGGCTCCTGGGAGCTCCACCCAGACCATGGGGAAAGTTCTCTGCTCCCTCCCCAGTGGACACACAGGTGCCTCCCCTGGGGTGCTCCAGGGCATTTAAGTCTTGGACATTGCACTTCTGGGACCCTGAGGGCCCTACTCGAAGACCCCTCCACTGGCCACACCTGGCAGAGGCCCCAAAAAGAGGCAAGGAAGAGCACGTCCTCGGGTGGGGGGCTGGCTCCACAGGGAGTGGTGGACGATGTGTCCACACAGCTTGGCCATGGCCCCCAGGTACCCAGCTGGACACATGTGTGGGGGTGGCTGTGAAGGTGTTGTAGGTGTGAGTCAAGTGTGCGAGAAGCCGCCTTGAGGTAAAAGATGACGCTACATACCATGGTGGGCCTCGTCTAATCAGGTGAAGGCCTTTACAGCAAACACAAGTTTCCAGGAAAAGAAGGAATTCTGCCTCAAGACTGCAGAGTCAGCTGCCATCTGAGGTCCCAGCCTGCCATCCAGACTCACCAGCCCCACAACTGTGCGAGCCAATTCTTTGAAATAAATTTCTTTGTATATGTATCTTTTATATTTATATATGTACATATGCCTATATACATACATCTATGTTTGTGTACATATATAGACATATATATCCTATTGCACATCTATCCTATTGTATATATTTGCGTGTATGTATGTGTGTGTATATATATATACACACACGCATATACACACACATCCTATTGTGTATGCATTCTAGTGCACATATATACTCACACGTATTCTATTGCATATTTGTGTATGGGAATATGAAACACACGTATGTATCTTATCTCGTATGTACCCTATTGCATCTATCTATCTATCTAGATATCTACCTACTTATCAATCATCTATCTATCATCTACCTATCTATCTATCTACCTGGCTATCCATCTATCATCTATCTATTTGTCAGTCTATCTATCATCTATGTGTCTTTCTATCTATCTATTTAACTATCTATCTATCTATCTATCTATCTATCTATCTATCTATCTATCTATCTATCATCTATCCATCTGCCGGTCTACTTATCATCTATCATCTATCTATCATCTACCATGTATCTCCATCCTTGTGTTTCGTTTCTCTGGAGAACCATGACTGATACAGTGATGATGTCCTGCCGACAGCCCCACGGGGCGAGGGGGACAATGACTAGCTGTCCATCACTTTTGTGCTGTCTCCCATGTTATGAGATGGGGACAGCTATGCGTGCCCCTCGAGGGCTCCCCCAGGTCTGTGACCCTGACCTCCCTCCCCAGGTCTGTGCGGATGCCGGCTGCCCCCTGCCAGCATGGAGGGCCCGTTCCAGGGGAACGGGGCCTCCTCTGATGGTGTCTTTGTCTCAAGGACCCCACACTCCTCATAGAGCCTTCCCAGGAGCTGACAGCCTCCGTGACGCCCTCCCTGTCCCCTCTCCTTCCCTCACACCGAGGTCGGATGGTCTCCAGCCTTCCCTGAGTGTCTCATGCAGGCATTTTCTGAAATAAAATGCCTTCATGGTTAATCCTGTTTGGGCATCTTGGAGCCACAGAGAGGGAGACAGAAGACCGGAGAGGACTTCTCGGTAGATGGCAATCTTAACCCCTGAGAAAGGCCACCATCCGGGAGCAGATGCTTTCTGAATGGGTCCTGGTCCCTTCCCCACCTTAGCCGCATCCGTATGTGCAGGAGTCACCCACACATCCAGGCAGAAGAGGAGCCCGGGCTGGGGGCGGGTGTCGGGGGTCCAGCCCCAGGCTCTGCTGCCCCGCTCCCCCGGGGCCGCAGGCATATGTCCCTGTGACGGGCAGGCTCGGAGCTCCCCGCCGGTCCAGGCGATAAGGAACAGGGACTTTGAGCCCGAGACCCCCACGAACCTGGGCTGGAACCCAGTGGGAGAGCCGGGAAAGCCAGCCGCCCTTTCCAGCCATGCTCCACGTGGCCGTTTCACAGCCCGACAAGGCAGATCAGTGGGAGGTGCTGCCGTGCCCAGGGACGTCCCCCCACTGTTATCCTGAGGGCTCCATGGAACAATCCAGAAAACAGGAACCCACTGGAGGCAGTGGGCGCTGAGCCATTTCCTCCTGCTCCTGAAACGCATGCCTCGCACCGTGAAGTTCTGCTTCTCCTGCTGATCTTGGAGCCTTGGCTCTTCCTTCCCCCGGAGAAGTCTGGAAATCTGGTACCCGGCTCCTGGGCGCCCGCCCTACAGACCCACTCTGGAGGGAAGAGACCTCTGGCTGTCTGCGTGATGCCCTCTGCCTTCTGGGCACCTTGGGTTCAGGTTTCACTTTCTTTGTAGTTTGTTACATAAATGCGACAAAAGGCAGCTCACTAGGCATTGCTTTTGGCTTTCTTTTTCCAATTATTTTATTGAGGTCATATTGGTTTATAACATTGTGTAATTGCAGGTGTACATTATTATGCATCAGCTTCTGTGTAGACTCCATCGTGATCACCACCAGCATTCTAATTTTTATCCCTCGCCATACATATATGTCCCCCCTTACCCCTTATGCCCAGTCTCCCACCCCTCTCCCCTCTGGTAACCACTAATCTGTTCTCCTTATCCATGTGTTAGTTTATCTTTCACCTATGAGTGAAATCATGTGGTGTTTCTTTCTCTGTCTGGCTTATTTCACTTAACATCATACCCTCAAGGTCCATCCACATTGTTGCAAATGGCACAATTTTGTCTTTTTTATGGCTGAGTAGTGTTCCATTGTATATATACCACATTTCTTTATCATCATCTGTTGATGGGCACTTGGGTAGCTTCCACTTCTTGGCTGTTGTGATTAATGCTTCAGTGAACATAGGGTAAATAGGTCTCTTTGAATTGTGGATTTCAAGTTCTTTGGATAAATACCCAGTAGTGGGATAGCTGGATTGTGTAGTATTTCTATTTCTAATTTTTTCAGAAATCTCCATACTGTTTTCCATAGCAGATGCATTAGTTTTCATTCGCACTATCAATGTATGAGAATTCCCTTTTCTCCGCATCCTCTCTAACACTTGTTATTTCCTGTCTTGTTAATTATAGCCATTCTGACGTGTATGAGGTAATATCTTATTGTAGTTTTGATTTGCATTTTTAC